CTGTTGTTGTTTGCTAATCAGCTGTGGTGTCTGCATAATGATTTTGTTCTTGATGTCTTACAGTCCTGTCTGCTGCCTGCCCCACTGACTGACTCATTTTATTTCTACTCGTGAGATTACAGACCTTTGACTAGTTACTCATCTTGTCAGACATATTCAAGTGAGCTCAGGAAAAACAAAGACAGAAGAGAAGAGGAAAAAAGGGAGGATTGTTATTTTAAAGATTGCCTGTTTGTTGGTCCATAGATAATAGCAGTGATTAAGATGAATAATTTGCATTCAGGTTGTACTTGCTGTTTCAAAAAGCTGTTTACATAGTATATTTGTTAAAAGTAAGTCAGATTAGAAGAGAGCACCCAGTGCTTTTTTGGTGCTAAGGAAAATATTCTAGATGGGCTACCCAGGGATAACTTAATACTTCCCATCGATCATAAAAATTTCGTTACTCATAAATTGAGATTGGAGCTGCCTGAGTACAAGGGATGTGCAATAATCTTTTGGCTGTAGTTTTCATCTCTCTCAGCCAGAACTTGAAGATGACTTATTCAGCTGTAGGCTGCCTGACACAGTCAGAGGAAGACTCAGAACCTGCCCGCCTTTATGCTGCAGGGCACACCTGCCAACACAGGACATCTGGTACCTGTGTACTTGTTCTCTGGCCCAGGCAGAGACCAGAGTGGCTATTTCCTGGGAAATTCTCCCTGAGTCACAAGATGTATGTGCTGGGCAGGTTACGTACTCAAGAGTGTGGAAATGCAAAGGGCAGGCAGGCTGTCCAGGAGTATGGAAGCTTTATTTATTTATTTTTGAGTTGGAGTCTCACTCTTTTGCCCAGACTGGAGTGCAGTGACACACACGCTCACAGCCCCTCCAGTGTCAACCTTCTGGGCTCCAGTAATTCTTCCACCTCAGCCTTCCGAGTAGCCAGAACTACAGATGTGTGCTACCACGCCTGGCTATTTTTTATTTTATTGTAGAGATGAGGTCTCTCACCAAGTTGCCCGGACTGGTCTTGAACCTGCGGGCTCAGGCAATCTACTTGTCTTGGCCTCCCAAAGTGCTGGGATTATAGGCTGAGCCACTGAGCCCAGTCAGAAGCTTTATTAGTAAAGCCATTGATGGGGACTCTGCTTATATTTGTAAGAATTTCTTTTTGAGAAACAGCTTTACTGGGCTGGGCGTGGTAACTCATACCTATAATCCTAGCACTTTGGGAGGATTGCTTGAGTCCAGGACTTCAAGACAAGCCTCAGCAACATAGTGAGACCCCATCTCTACAGAAAATCAAAGAATGTGTGGTGGTGCATGCTTGTAGTCCTAGCTACTCAGGAGGCTATGGTGAAAGGATTGCCTGAGCCCTGGAGGTAGAGGCTGCGGTGAGCTGTGATCTCGCCTCTGCATCAACCTGGGTGACAGAGTGAGACTCAAAAACAAAACAAACAAAAAAGCTTTATTGAAGCATAAGTTATATATTATAAAAATCACCCATCTCAAGTGTGTAAGTCAGTGATTTCTAGTAACTTTACCAAGTGGTGTGACCATTACCTTAAATTAGTTTTAGGGCATTTCCTACCCACCTAGTTCCCTTAAGTCCTCTTAGAGTTAATCCCATCTCCCCCAACTCCAGGCAACCACTGATCTACTTTTCTGTCTCTATTGTAATAATTTAATTTCTGATTAGAAAGTAATAGTTTCCTATTTTGGATAATTTGAATAGTTCCAAAGAGACAAAATGACTGAATGAATTCAGAATCCCTTTTGTTGACCTGGTACCCAGGCTTCTCTAGCTGCTACCTTCTGCTGTCCCTTCTACTGACATGACTGACACGTGCCACATCAGGCCCCCAGTGTACCCTCCATGCTATTCCTTTTGCCTCGGCTGCCTCCCATTTCCACTTTACAAGACAGAATTTCCCCCTGCCTTTTAAAGGTCTGTCTTACATTCCTTGCTCAACAAAGATTTCCCTAGAGTCCAGGCTAAAGTCTAGGCTAAGAGTAATTTTCTCTTCTCTGAAATTCCATGGTGTTCTATTTATGGCTCTAAGAGTTTTCACTCAGTAGTTTGCTTACTTAAATCTGTGTTTCATCTTCCCTGTTGAACCTGAGGGGAGATGCCCTGAGGATTGAGGTTCTCTCTAACTCATCTATGTTTCCTAACCTTGCTATACACTTCTGACTTCCTCTTCTGCCACTCTCTGAGGGCTGTATGTGCCTCCTTTATAGTCGTTGTTTACTGTCGCATTAACCACTAGACTGGGAGTCCTGTCCTCAGCTTCCAGTACAGGAAGGTCACTCTTACTGCCAAAATGAATGAAGAATGAAAGCAAGTTGGCCAGGTGTGTTTGGATGTCCATAGATGGTTTATTCTTCCCCACTTGAATGTTTTGCTGTAGGTACCAGAGCTTAGTTGACCTCTTCTCACCCCATTGTTTGTACCTAAGTTCTTATTCGAATTAAATAACAAGTAATCTCAGAATAGATGGCTAAACTGAGTTGTGATGTTCTTTTTCCCAGCTGCGGAGAATCTTGATGTTCCCACTCACACGTACATACATTCATATTTACATGCCCCCTTCTTTAAAAACCTGCTAGGATTCTTCCTAGAAATACGATTTTTGACTTGTGGCACCTTAATCATTTTTCCCCAACCCACCTTATAACTAGATGGTTCTGGTGCCTTTGGCTAGTTGCCACCCAGAGCAGCTCTCATCCTCCCCTCTGGGCTGTTTTTGCTACCACGCCTGGTTATTTTTTATTTTATTGTAGAGATGTGGGCTCAGGCAATCTACTTGTCTTGGCCTCCCAAAGTGCTGGGATTATAGGCAGCAGAGGAATTAAAGACGGTGGTACCCAGTGAGCAAAATGATGGCGAGGGAAGGTTTTGTAGGAATGAAGAGTGCTGTAGGAGCAAGCTGGTATGACAGAGCTGGCTCAGCACTTGGGCTGCCTCAGGTGTCCTTGCAGATGGAAGAAAATGTAGCATGAGGGATGGGGGCCATGGCAGGACCTACATTCCATACTATGTTTCTTCCTACCATGGTCAACAGTGGAAACCCAGGTGTGCTTGCTCTTATAGATTATTAATCAGCATGGCAAGATTGGGGTGGTTGGGGGAATCAGCATGGCCTTTGATTACTCACCGTTCCTTCCAGCTACCCGTAAGACATTGGCTTAAACTGAACTTTTCAGTGTTTAAAAGTTTAATTCTTTAGGCTAATCTTAGTGAGTCACAGCTAATGACATTATACCTTGATGGAATGCCAGGTACATGAGAAATGTTGAGTTGTTTAATCCTAGGGCAAAAGTTACCCAAAAAAGTAATTTCTGAAATGACAGGGTTTTTATTTTTGTTTTTTTTTTGAGTTGGAGTCTCACTCTGGCCCAGACTGGAGTGCAGTGACCTCTCCCAGTCACCGCAGCGTCGACCTGCTGGCCTCCGGTGATCCTTCCGCCTCAGCCTTCCAAGTAACTGGAACTACAGGCCCACACTACCATGCTTGGCTAATTTTTGATTTATTGTAGGGTTGAGATCTTGCCAAGTTGCCCAGACGGGTCTCTAACCCGCCAGCTCAGGCAAATGACAGGTGTTAATTGACCATTTATTTAGCAGAATTGGTTGGCAATGCAGGCATTATTATATACCTTACCAGTAATCTTCCAAGTAAATTTCTATCTCCATTTGAAAATTTAGTGTGCTGAATAGTGTATGAAAATCAGATTCCATATTGCTTTAAATGGCACCTATATTTAATCTTCCTACTGAAGATAATTATACTGCAAATAAAATTTTATTTTGCTTGATTGTAAGAGTGAATACATAAGGTCCCTCTTCCTCTTGTCCTTCCCCTTTTATAGGCCTGTAATGTAGGAGCAGGTATCCAAGAATGGCACAGAAGCCACAGGGCCCCAGCAGTGGGAACTGGCAGTTGCACTGATTTCAAGACATTGTCTGAGCCCAAGGAAGTGCGAGAGTAGGTCATGAGCCCATTTACCACTTGAGAAGGGAATCTTGCCTCAGGCTTCTTCCTGATTGAAGCTTTAAATCTTTAGTTGATTTACATTTGAACTGCCAGCACAGCAGCCTTGCTGGCTATGAATGTGCCTGATTGTCAGGAGGCTTTGATCCTACCTGATTTAATCCATGGTGACAATTTAAGTCACTAGTCTCTTGCTTTCTTGCTTCAGGGAGAAGAACGAGGGCACTGAGGCTCTTGCTCTTCCTTTTCCCATTTATCTCTTTCCCCAACACCACACACACACACACACACACACACACACACACAATTACACACACTCACACCGTTTCTTCACTGACCCGAACACACACACACCCACACATACCCTTGCTCATGGATGCATCCACACTCTTCTACTCAAGTACATCCTTACACCCTCACTCACACTCACACATACTCTCATGTGGAAGCCCACAGTCACTCACACACACACTCACTCACACACACTTGTTGACACTTGCACACCCTCCCATCCTCACCAACATGCACATCATTCCTTTTCTCATTTGTACTCAGCTCCTTTGCCTTCACAGCAGGCAGATTTTCTCTTTGTTCCCCCTGTGAGGAGCTCGCTGGGGCCTTGGGCCCAGAGCTCTGGCCTCAGCACAGTCCTGGTTCAGTAGCTGAAGCAGTAAGTGGGAGTCAGGAATAGATGTTTCCTTTTATTCCAAGCTCTCGAAAGGTGATTCTGTCATTGACTGTTTTGAAATACTTTTCTTCATTGTAATGATTGTCTTCTCACAAACATTATTGCTTAATAATATAAGATTAATACTGTGAAAAATATGCTGATCTAGACTTTTCATTAGTCATGTTTATTTATAAGAGCAAATAGTTATAAGACTCAATAAAGCAATCATACATTCACCTGCTAGGTTTTAAGTGGAGGTTAGTTATTACCAAATGTTCTAATATCCTTACTATCTTTACTTTAAATTAACAAGGGCCTTGAATAAGAATATCCTTTTTGGTTTTGTTTTTCAGATTCAGAATATGAACAACATAATCTCCTTCCCTTTGGACAGTTTACTGAAGGGGGACCTGAAAGGCGTGAAAGGGGTATGACATTGACACCCTGACATCTGGGGCAACTTTCCTATCATACAGAGTCACAGTGAATTGACCTGTCTGAGCAGCAGCCACACAGTATGTTCTTACTGGGACAACAGGATGGCTTTTTTGCGGCCTCACCCTCCTTGATCTGCCATCCTGGGACCACCTTTCAGCCAGAGCTGTGGTGGTTCCTGGCCTTTCTGGCCTCCTGTTGGCAACAGAGTTGGTGAGGGGAGGAGAGCAGGAAGGGAAAGAAGCTGCTCTTTTGGAAACAGTAAGCAGGTTGGGTCTCTCCGTTGAGCAAGGAGACCTGCGAGAGAAGTCTGATTTTCTAGCTGGTACATCACCGATTTACCACTGGGAAAAGATCCTAGCAAGGGTGTAGTTTCTTGATAGGGAAAATTGCAGCCGTGAGGCATTAGCCAGCTTCATTTTCTGCCCTCCAAAGGATGTTTCGCACATCCCTTGCATCTTATAAACGCCCAGGCTGTAAGCTGTTTCACTGAGTAGCAGTCAGGGCTAGAGGAGTGTTTGGGTGCAAGATGCTGAGCAGTGAGTTGCTTTTGCACTTTGTTGGCCCTGTCAGATGTGCACTGTGAAAGGGAGATGATTGTGGCTGCGTTCTTGGGAGACTCAAGTTCTTTAACAGGATCTACCTATGATTCCCACATGCAGGACCCCTCACAACTGGGGTGACTGGAAACCCAGTCTGGCCCATCTCGGGTACCTCTCAGTGGCCTCTCAGAGGCCTCTCAGTGTCTCCTTCACAGAATGTGCCAGGAGAGAGCTGATAAAGCACATCATCCAAAGAACAGGTCAGCTGAATGAGCCCAAGAAACAGGAGGAAAAGGCACCCTAGGCAGAGGAAAGACTTGGGCACATCCAGGGAAACAGGAATTTACACTGCGTGTCAGGCTGCTGGTGTGCAGGAGGGGCCCAGAAGCTGACGGGGCAGGAGGGCCAGCTCATGGGGCACCTCGGGTGCCAGGCTGCAGCACATTGGCCTTAACATAAGACCATTGAAGAGCTAAAAAATAAAAAGTAAACAAACAAAAGACTTCTGTCTTCCAAATGCCCTGTCAAAGGGAGCATAAATAGGTGGAAACTATTGGTAGGATTTCTAGCGGCTCAGTGCTTCTTTTTGGGCCAGGTTTTATTAGAGGGTATGAAGTCCTGAATTTCAAACAGAAGAGCGCAGTGAGAAGGACGTAGGTGACCTTTGTCTTCCTGTTTTTGGGCTCAAAGCAGGGTTACATGGGATACGTAGATTCACATATCAATAAAAAAAATTAGGTTCTCTTTCTTTTAGAGAGAGAGATTGAAATAATTGCAAATTAAATGTTGCCTTTTGGCATTTAATTTCAGAATAAACACAGGGCAGAGGGTAAGGTACTGGTGACACAAGGTGGGCCAGGAGTGTATTAACTGGGTGATAGTACCTTACATTAGTCTCCCTACTTTTGTGTGCATTTGATATATTCTATAATAATTATTGTAAAAAGAGAAAGAAAAAAAGTAAATACTACCACTAGTCTACGTAAAAGCGTGTGCTCTAGGTTCTTAATTTTTTGTGGGATTACATCTATCATTTATTGCAGAAAATTATGTTCCCTTCAGGACTAGCATAGGGATAAGTAAGTTTATCTTGCACAGAAGTAAATGATCTGTCCTGCTTAATTTATTGCTCTCTATTTACAGGATCTGAAAAAGCCTTTTGATAAAGCTTGGAAAGACTATGAAACAAAAATGTGAGTGTTCTCATTTATAAAATATGTATAGGTAGTTTGAGATGTCAGTTTAAAATCAAGCCTTTATTGCTTAAAGGGATTGTCTAAATAAACCTTAATCTAGGAAAAAATTTACCTAAAACCATGTTGCTGTGGTTTGTCATGATGACAGATGCGTTCCTTCTTTAGACAAATCTCCCCTCGTTCCTTCTTCTATATCATAGTGGTTATAGAACGTTATTTTCAGCAAAGTTGATTGAGGGAAGTTGACGCCAATTTCTCTTAGGAGGTGTTTCTTCAGTTTTTGTTGGTTTTTTTTGTTTGTTTGTTTTTTTGAGTTGGAGTCTCACTGTCGCCCAGACTGGAGTGCAGTGGCCGCTCCCGGCCACCATAGCCTCGCCCTCCTGGGCTCCGAGGATCCTTCCGCTTCAGCCTTCCACGTAGCTGGAACTACAGGCGCGCGCTACCACACCCGGTTAATTTTTTTTTTGGATTTATTGTAGAGATGAGGTCTCGCTGCCCAGGCAGGTCTCGAACCCGTGGGCTCAGGCAATCCACTCACCTCAGCCTCCCAAAGGCACAGGATTACAGGCTGAGCCACCGAGCCCGGCCAGTTTTTGTTTTTAAATACGTTCTTCATTTTATTACCACTTAAGGTAGCAGAGTAGTTTTTAGCTTTCATCTTGTGAAAAGCATTTAGCTTTGTGTCTGTTTTCCTCTGAAACAGCAGTCTCCTTGGTTTTAGGAAGAAAGATTGTTCAATGCCCATCTTCTTCAGCTTTATTTGATTGCTTCAGTTGCCCAAAAAGAACTTGAAGAATGGATTAGCTGACTCGCAGATGTGTACCACAATTTCTGCTAAAGACAAGACTGCTACTGGTCTCCAGGCCATTGTGACATTTCCTATCAGGTTCTCATTCCAGAGTAGAGAGAGTTGAGCTAGACAGAATTGAGTTAGCAAATGTTGGGAATAACAGCTTCAATTAAATTAAATACTGGAAAAATAGAAACTATTATTTATTATTATTATTTTTTATTCTATTTTAAAGATGTGAGCACAATTCAGTTAGGTATATAAATAAATATTCATTATGTATGTACCCTTGTTGAGGTGTGGCCAGAGGGGCTCCCCCCTGCCGCCAAAAAAAAAAAAGCAGATTCCTACTACTGCCAATCCCACCCCTGTCTTTCCCTGGCAGTTTCCCACTACTGCCAATCCTTTTCTTACGATTCTTGTATTATGATAGTTGTTCAAGGTCTGCTTATAAGTGAGAATATGTGATTCTCAGTTCTTTGTGTCTGTGATAGGTCACTCAGTATTATAGATTCTCTGTCCATCCAGGTTGCTGTGAAGTTCATAATTTTGTCCTCGTTTATGGCTGTGTAATATTTCATCATGTATATGTACCACATTTTTTTTTATCCAGTCCTCTTTCGATGGACAGCACAGTTGGATCCATGTTTTTGCTATTGTGAACAGTACTGCAATAAACATATGTGTGCAGGTATCTTTTTTATAGAGTGATTTGAGTTCCTCTGAGTATATTCCCAGTAGGGGGGTTGTGGGGTCATATGGAAAGTTGATTTTTAGATCTTTTAGGAATTGCCAAAAGATTCTCTCCAGCACCTGTTCTTTTTTAAGTTAATGATGATGGCCATCCCAACTGGAGTTAGGTGGTATCTCAGTGTGGTTTTATTATTTATTTATTTATTTATTTTGAGTTGGAGTCTCACTCTGTCGCCCAGACTGGAGTGCAGTGGCATGATCCTGACCACTGCAACCTCAACCTCCTGGGCTCTGGCCATCCTTCCGCCTCAGCCTTTCAAGTAGCTGGAACTACAGGCGCGCCTGGCTAATTTTTGATTTATTCTAGAGACGAGATCTCGCCAAGTTGCTTGGACAGGTCTCGAACCCGCAGGCTCAATCTACTCACCTCGGCCTCCCAAAGGCCTGGGATTACAGGTTGAGCCACCAAGCCTGGCTCAGTGTGGTTTTAATTTGCATTTCTTTGATGACTAGCGAGGCTGAGCATTTTTTCCATGTATCTGTTGGCTGCTCATATGTCTTTTGAGAAGTGTCTGTTCATAACTTTTGCCCACTTTGTAATGGGGCTGTTTGTTTTTTTCTTTTTGGCACATTTGAGTTCCTCGTAGAACCTAAATATTAGGCCTTTGTCAGATATACAGCTGGCAAATATTTTTTCCTAGTCTGTGGACTGTGTCCCCACTGTCTCGATGGTTTCTTTGGCTTTGCAGAAGCTTGTCAGTTTGATGAGGTCCTACTTGTCTATCTTATCTCTTATGGCATGGGCATTTGGGATTTTGATCAGGAATTGGTTGCCAGTTCCAATTTCCATAAGGGTATCTCCTCCATTTTCTAAGATTGTTATAGCTTGAGGTTTTATGTTTAGGTCTTTGATCTATTTAGAGTTGATTTTTGTGTAGGTGATAGGTAGGGGTCTGTTTGAATTTTCTGCTCTGGTCAGCCAGTTTTCTCAGCACCATTTACTGATAGGTTCTCCTCTCCCAATGGTTGGTGGTAGAGGCTTTGTTGAAAATGAATCGGTTGAGAAATTGAGATTTTGCTTCTGGAATCTCTATCCTGTTCCATTGGTCTGAATGCCTGTTCTTGTACCAATACCAGGCTGAGAAACTATTTTTTAATTGCTTCATATTTACATTGCAATCACTGTGCCTTGGTTAATATGGAATTTTCTGAGTGGAAATAGAAACTTTCATATTAAGCTATCTGGTAAAGTGAGAGATGTTAAGAAAATTGCTTCAGATATAACTATAAGTATTTAATTGGGTTGTTTGTGTGTTTGTTTTTAAACCAACGCTGGGTATCTTTTCCATGTTAAAGAGTTACAAAGCTTAAACCATTAAACACCAAGTTGTTGATACTTATTCTATTCATGGGAATCTTAAATTTCCATACCTGAAGTTGCTTGGACTCTACATTCTGGAGTTTCATTAGCAATGTACATCCATGTGGAAGCTCAGGCGGAGTATTAGACTAGAGAACCTTGAAGGTCTATTCAGCCCAGGGAGGCTCCCACTTGTTATCCCTGGCCCTTTAGGATCCTTTGTCTGCATACCAATCCAGGGAAATGAATGGGGGGACATCAGCATATTCGTACTTCTTTTTTTTTTTTTGAGTTGGAGTCTCACTCTGTCTCCCAGAGTGGAGTACAGTGGCCGCTCCTGGCCACCGCAGCCTTGACCTGCAGGGCCCTGGCGATCCTTCTGCCTCAGCCTTCCAAGTAGCTGGAATTACAGGCGCGTGCTACCACACCCAGCTAATTTTTTGATTTATTGTAGAGATGAGATCTCACCAAGTTGCCCAGGCGGGTCTCGAACCTGCGGGCTCAGGCAATCCACTCACCTCAGCCTCCCAAGGCATGGGATTACAGGCTGAGCCACTGAGCCTGGCTAGCATATTCGTACTTTACAGATGGGAAACCAAGTCTGGGTGGTTTGCTGCTGGTCAACCAGTAAAAGAGTAATTGAGCCATGACCAGGGAATGGGTTTCCTGACTTGGGTGCAACTTTACTCACTGTCCCTTCTGCATCTGAGAGGACATACTCCTGTGCGTGACTGGACCAAGGGCAGAAAAAGGTTTCTGAAAAAACTGCTTGGGAGAGTCCTCCAGTTCTGAAAGGAAGATAGCATCAAATGCTGTAAAATCAAGACCCTGTAGATCTGGTTGGGACAGAATCGCTCTCAAAATCCCAGAATTTAGGAGCAGTACCCTTTAAAACTTGAAGTAATTCTAGGATAAATAAAGGAAGTAATTCTTTACCTATTAACATGTGAGATTCATTTTGCCCAAGATGCCCTGTGGTATGTAGCAACAAGGTTTAAGATGTCTGTAAAATTCCTAGGCAAATAGTCCCATACCTGATTATTAGAGAAATGACCAGTGTCTGGACTGTGTCTTGGTGCCTTTGAGGTGGTTTCAGGGGTTCTTTGGAGCTGTATAATTCTAGTCCCAGGGACCTCAGGGGCCCTCCAGTCCTACTCCCTCCCAAAATGAATTCATTAAGCAATATCCCTTCCAAATGGTCTTATTATAGGTGACTCACACCTATAATCCCAGCACTTTAGGAGGCCAAGGTGAGAGGAGTGCCTGAACCCATGGGTTTAAGACCAGCCTGGGCAACTTGAGGAGACCTCATCTCTACAATAAATCTAAAAATTAGCCAGGCGTGGTGGTACATGCCTGTAGTTCCAGCTACTTGGAGGGCTCAGGCGTAAGGATTGCCTGAGCTTGGTAGGTCAAGGTTGCGGTGGCTGTGAGCATGCCACTGCACTCCAGCCTGGGCGACAGAATGAGACTTAAACTAAAAAAAAAGAAAAAAGAAAAAAAAGAAAATGCTAGCTTATGTTTTCTAGTATCTACTTTGAGGCTTTACAAAGTATCTCTTCCCTTGTCTTTCTGGCAGCCCTGTATATTTTTTGAGTGTTTTCTGTTGATTTTGTGTAGTCTCTTTTTCTCTAGAATAAATGCCCATAGTTATGTCAAACTCTTCATAGTGGCCATGATTCTGTGTTCGTTTTTGATCTGGTCACTGTTCTTTGGGTACGCTCCAGTGGTCAGTTTTCACCATGAATTGCACACTTGACATTTATGTACTACAGTTGAGACATGAGATAAGCGTGGAAGGAGAATGAAGTTGAAAATATGAAAAGATGGTTCATTTTCTTCTCCCGCAGTCATGTGAGCACTGTCGTAGGTCAAGGCAGGAGACTAACATGGCCTCACTAAGTGAGGAGCAGGTGGAGAGGAAGGCAGAGACTAAAGGAAGTCTGGGGAGAGGAACAGTAGGCAGGGAATTGTCACATGGTTCCCTTTGGATTCTCAGAGGGCAGGGTAAGCTTCAGATGCTGGTAGTGAAGGAAACTTCCTAGTCATATATAGACTTTCTACCTCCTCTGACCCAGACCTAACTCAAAGTAGGTGCTTAGGAAATCCTTGTTGAGTAAGTGGTGGGAAGACCAGGTTTGACATTTTTATGACAACATCCATTTTCCTTTTGAGTGAGTTAAGATGCTGACCTGTCTTGAAATGTGTGGTGAATGTTTGTCTGGCAGCCTGGGTAACGGGATGACTTTGAAACTGTCCAGTGTGGTATACCATGCCAGGAGGCATCTTCATTTATCCTCGTTTTTTTTTTCATACATAGAACCAAAATAGAAAAGGAGAAAAAGGAACATGCCAAGCTCCATGGGATGATTCGAACTGAAATTAGTGGAGCTGAAATTGCTGAAGAAATGGAAAAGGAGAGGCGGTTTTTCCAGCTGCAGATGTGCGAGGTAAGATGCCAGGAAGTAGCAGGTCCTGAGAACCAAGGCTGGGTGGAGTCTGCCCCCGTCTGCAGGAACTCCCTGGGGGAGCATCCTGCTTCTCAGCAAGCATTGTCTTTTGACTTATATCGGTAGCTTCAGAGAAAACACCATGTGTATTCTTGGACTCCATTTGTCTCTATGTTGACAATTTATTTTACTAGGGGAGTCTTAGTCTCCTGGAGGGTGGGATTAGGTTAACTTAACCCCAATCTTTTCTTAAACATAGAGAAAACCCATTTATAAGTGGTAGCTAAACACTGAATATATGTGGGCATAAGAATGGGAAAACAGACACTGGGGACTCCTAAGCCAGGGAGGGAAGGAAGGAGGTAAGGGCTGAAAACCTACCAACTGGGTACCATGCCCACCACCTGGTACAACAGTGGAAGCCCAGATGTCACCATCATGCAATATACCTGTGTACCAAACCTGTACATTTACCCCTTGGGTCTAAAAAGAAATAAAAAATAAATTTTTAAAAGGTAGAGAAAAACCACTAAATTTAAAAAATGTTCTTTCTGGTCTCACATACATACTCTAAAAGTTGACTCCTCTCACTGGGACCTTGCTAAAATGCTTGCTTACTATTTAGGTGATTTGTAAATGAGATATCTGGGCTCCCATTGAACCAGCAGAGTCAGTGACCAGCTTGGAGTGAGGTAAAAAGTCAGCTGGAAAGAAATGCAGCCTGAGAGATGGCAGTCCATGTCATCCCCTGTATCAGTGTGTGTGACATGCTATGGGAAGCCTTGCCACCTGTCTGGAGCAATTCCTCCTGACCTCACCTGCTCAGCGTGGGAGTGCTTATACAGCCAGGAGGCCCAGGTGCCCTGTGGAGCATCTCTGCTCCATCCTGCAGTTTCAGCCCTTTCCTCGGGGAGGGAAAGATGGCAGGATGGTCACTCTCAGAGCCTTTCTCTCAGATCAGAGATCGTCAGTCATGAAGGCCTTTGCTTGCAGCCTTTCTGTTTGTGTGCCTTGCTTGCAGGTACTTGTGTATGAATGACGTATGCAGTTGCCACCTCTGCCTATGGCAGTGCCCCTCATGCTAGATGACAATTATTTCCCTCTCACAGCAGTGCAGTCTTAGATTTTAAATGTACAAAATGCATGAGTGATATATTTTTATTTTTTAATTTTTTAATTTTTTTTTTGAGTTGAAGTCTCACTCTGTCGCCCAGACGAGTGCAGTGGCCGCTCCTGGCCACCGCAGCCTTGACCTGCTGGGCTCTGGCAATCTTTCTGCCTCAGCCTTCCAAGTAGCTGGAACTACAGGCGTGCGCTACCACGCCCCAGCTAATTTTTTT